TTTTCGTCAACAAGCAGTCCTAAAAATGTACATGCACCAACTTTTTCTATCTCGGTATTGCAAATCCGTATAATGCAGTCATTTTTACTCTCACTTTGTATTGAATAACATGTAATTAGTTTTGGCCACACTAAGGGATAATTTATGAACTGCAGACCAGTTACATAGTGTAAAGGAATATTTTAGTCTGATGCTTAGCTGACCTGAGAAACTTCACATGAGTGACTACTCTTTCTCTGTGTGGGTGAGGGGCTTGGGGCACTTAAGGAGGGGCAATATATGCAGTCTTTGTCCTTGGTGTCTGGTAATGATTAGGGGAAAGGGCGGGCTGTTTAGACCCCTCCTTTAAAAGATATATAGAGATGTTTCTGTCTTTTGTGTTTAGAGTTAATTTTGGCAGCTTGCATTAAACAGTGCGAGTTGCTTTGTTAATCCTCCGGCCGTTTTGTCTCTCAATAAATATCAGTGTATTGACTAAGGCGAATCCAGTTTCCCTCATTTCATGATTGGCTCAACATTGCTGCAAAGAAGTTTTTACTTCACACATAGTATTTCTAATTCCGCATTCACAATTTTAACAAGATCGCCAAGATTATGATGGGAGCAGAGAATGGGGGTATCATCGGCAAATAAAATGAATTTGAACAGATCTGTGGATGTCTGCTCACCAACTCAAGCTCAACCTTGACAAGACTGAACTGCTTTTCCTTCCGGGAAAAGATTGTCCCACTCTTGACCTGACTATCAACATCGGCCCCTCTGTTGTTTCCCCGACTCAGGCTGCAAGGAATCTGGGTGTGATCCTAGATAACAACCTGTCCTTCACTGCAAACATCACTGCTACAACCCGCTGCTGCAGATACACGCTTTACAACATCAGGAAGATACGTCCCCTCCTGACCCAGAAAGCCACGCAGGTTCTGGTCCAGGCTCTCGTCATCTCACGCCTAGACTACTGCAACTCCCTCCTGGCTGGTCTACCTGCATGTGCCATCCGACCTCTGCAGCTCATCCAGAATGCAGCGGCTCGTCTGGTCTTCAACCTTCCTAAATTCTCCCACACCACTCCGCTCCTCCGCTCCCTCCACTGGCTTCCGGTAACTGCTAGAATCCACTTCAAGACAATGGTACTTGCGTACCATGCTGCGAATGGATCTGGCCTTTCCTACATCCAGGACATGGTTAAACCGTACACCACAGCACGTGCACTCCGCTCTGCATCAACCAAACAGCTCGCTGCACCCGCACTGCGAAGGGGACCCAAGTTCCCATCAGCAAAAACACGTGGGTTTGCTGTCCTGGCTCCAAGATAGTGGAATGAGCTCCCCATTGACATCAGGACAGCAGAAAGCTTACACACCTTCCGGCGCAGACTGAAAACTCATCTCTTTCGACTCCACTTCGAGCGATAGAATTACTAACAAAGCACTTATATACTAATAAAGGACTGGCTTACCTAAAGCCAGTTGAGTAGCACTTGAAATGTGTTGGCTCTATGAAACCTGATGTACTTATATGATTCTGTTTTCTTCAAGGTTGTATCTTCCTGGTCGAATGCACTTATTGTTGTATTGTCGCTTTGGATAAAAGTGTCAGTTAAATGCAATGTAATGTAATGTAATGTTGATAATGTCATTAATATAAATCAGAAACAGTTTTGGACCTAAAATTGATCCTTGAGGGACTCCACATGTTATAGGAAGCTTGTTTGATTTCGCCTCGTCTATATCCACATATTGTAGCCTATTTATCAGATAACTCTTAACTAGGGCTGCTCAATTAATCGTATTTTAATTGCAATTACGATTATGGCTTGCAACGATTATTTTTTTATCATTATTGTTACTTTTTTATTTTTTTTGTATTATTATTATTTATTTTTTTCTGTTGAATTATACTTAAAGTTCAGAGTAATAAACTGTTAAAAACATACTGTTCACATTTTTTTCTCCAATAAATGTATGTTTTCAAAGTCAATGGACAATCGTTTTTAATAATCGTGATATTAATTATTGACCCAAATAATCGAGATTATGATTTTTGCCATAATCGAGCTGCCCTACTCTTAACCCATTCTTTTGCTTGACCCCTTATGCCATAAGCACTATATGGTTCACCGTATCAAAAGCCTTTTTAAGGTCAGCTGTAATAATTTTTTTCTCAATGTTGTTGGTAATTTCTTCAACCAGTTCAATTACTGCTGAAGAAGTAGAGTGATGTTTCTGAAATCCATATTGGCTGGGGCATAGTATATTACATTTGCTGAGGAATTACTCTGGAGTTTTCCAAGATTTTTGAAAATGGTGGTAGTAAAGAAATGGGTCTATAGTTATTAAGACTTGATTTATCACCAGATTTGAAAACCGGAATCACCTTCGCGATTCTCATTTAATTGGGGAAAATACCTTGTTCATCTCTGATTGCTCAAATATGGACATCTGAATAATTATTTTACTGTGTGCTCTCCACAAATGTTGAAATGAGTGGTGATATATTGGCTTGACATCTCATTTAGTGAGGACAGGCACATTGCAGAGCCATGATTGAAAGCTTAATGAATGATTCATAATCTGAAATGAAATGGACATTTTCATTTGGGCATCTGCAACAATCATTAGCTGGACACGTACGATTTCTACATCAGAAATAAACAAACCGTGTCAATTTGGAGGTTTACTTGATTGTACCTGGAAATGTTGGTAGGTGCTGTAATAATAAACACCATAGAATGTGCTTATTAACAAATTAATATTCAAAACTCTCCATTTCCAATTGAATTATAGTTTTCTCACGTCTCATTTAGGTTTAATTTGCTGTTTGAGGCTGTATCCTACATGTACTTTACAACATATTGCTAACCCTCTGCTGTCTTGATGTTCCAGGAATGTTTTGAGCAGGAAGGGATTGTTGTCGAGTGCGAAACAAACAGATGGGATGAAAACTTGACCCACTTCTTCATCTGGACAACTCTGAATAGAAAGGAAGGAGGGTTATTGAAAGATCAGTAGGATATATATACGGTATGTCATTCATTTATAATGGATGAATACAAAGTGCATTAAATACAGCTGTTTCTTGATCTTCCTATACTTCCATTTGCTGGTATAGTGGCACACTCTCATTGCCTGCTTCCTCCAGTCAGTTGTTTATGTTACATACATCAGAAAACAGGGTTTCCTGACTTCACACATCAAAAAGTAGGTCATGGATTGGTCATATAAAGGATGTGCTTGTCAGATGGAGAGAAAGAGAGAGAGACCTTGATATCCCAGCAATCCTCTAAGGATATACTCAGTTCTTTCTGGGCATGCAGCTGCTGTAGCTCGTGATAAATGACCTGTGGTTTGAGAAGCAAGGGGCGCAGCTCGGCCATGAACCCTATGCTTTAAACCTTGTATGAAGACTCGGGGGAAGGGAGTATTTAATATACAAAGGTTGTTTTGTAATGCCCATTTTCCAAAAGTAAGCCAATAGCTTAGAGATTGCATTCATCTCTAAAAATGGAAACGCTTTAATGCATTTTTATAGCACTGCATACGCTGACATTATCCTTTGTAGGAAGACACAAAACATCTTACTGTTGTCAATATAATATTTGAAAATGAAGACCTGCATCCTGCCACCTGTGTTGCACTTTGGCTTTGACTTTCTCATCACTTAGGCAAAATTGCTCTCCAAGGCATGGGCGAGTGACGCCTCTATCCACACGATAATCAGAACAAGGTGATCTTTATGCCCTGCGCTATATTCACCCTCATTTTGAATTGGAAAAGAAAACATTAGACTCCGATTTATACTTTCATTTGCGGCGATTTGAAACAAACACTTGACACTGATTGTTATTGTGCATGTGATATAATTGCCAATCGGTCAAACTGTATGTCAACTGTTTTGAAATCCAATTTCAGCTGATATCGTATTTTTACCACATGTAGAACAGTTACCCTCTAGCATCATTTTCTCCTCCTACGCCTGTTTAACAATACCATGAATTGTGTAGCAAACTATTGCAATGATTGCCTGTTTTGTGGACCTCGGGGCTGGAGGAGGTAATCCTTGTGCACAGAGACGAGAATGAAAACGTGTATATTCTGCCTTGGGGGAGCACAGGTAAGGGGCTAATGTACACATCAACAGGAGCAGGAGACAGGACGAGCTGCAGAGCGGCTGCAGTTCAGCACCATGGACAGAGACGAGGCTTCACGGACATATCGCTGGTGCTGAAATTCAGCTGAATTCTTTGCTTAGAAGAATACACTGTTACCCAAACATTTGATAATTTTACATTAGTTAAAGTTAAAGCAATAGGCATGGTAGTTATTTAAAAACAGCCAATTATTCCAAGTTCATATGTCTTGATTATCTTCACATTCATTCTGAAAATAGTTTTCCTGGGACTCCTCAAAAAAAGATGTGAGACTCACAAGCTGCATTTCGACACGTTGTGTTAACTGCCAGGTGTCACTGTTTATTTCACCACTAAATCAATGCAGAAAGTCCCGATCCTTTTGTTCATGACTAAAAATACATTCTTTGTTGATCCTATTGGGGATTCTCTTTTCATCCTATATGCTTGAGATTCACGCAGCAAGCCGTCTGTCTTATCATGCGCAGAGGCAGCTCGGCAGGTACAGCAGGTAGGGGAATCAAAGCCCAGCTGACTGCAAATATCTCACCATCGCTTAGGGTGTGCGATTTGAATGAACCACAGAAATATAGCTGTACAAAGTGTTTTTGATTGTTGTATGACGTGCTATAACAGGGCTTCATGCGTGTATACAGCCCTATATATTTAACTAGCCTGCTCTATGCATGTCTGAAACGTCGTCTGCCTCCTACAACATAAAAGCCCAGTAAATCACCCTTGGCTTTCAAGCCGCTAAAGAGTCTGCCCCGCATAAAGCCCATGCAGCCTTTCCACCAGGCCGTCATATCCCCCCTCCTCCCCTTCCTCCCCCTCCTCGTTTCCTCTCCTCCTCCACACTCAGTGCTCCCTCTTGCGCGCGCGGTGAGCTGCAGCGGCTTCAGCGCTTCTCTGACGCACCATCGGAGATGAGCATCCCAGTCCCACAGGCTGTCAAGGCACAATCTCTCAACATCTCCCCCTCGGACCTCTGCGGTCAAGAATTCAACGTCATTTGTTTTTAGTCTGTTTACCGTGTCGCTTCGTTGTCTCGTAATCCGTCAGATTCAGCACTGCGTTGGAAGGGATGCCCACAGTTGCCATCTCTTGGCTTGGAATTTACTTCGGAGGTGATTTCTGTATCCGCAACAACTGTCAAGGAAAGTGATTGATCCCTGACTACTCTTAGGAATCTTTTTGTTTTCGGGGCATCCTGCAGGACATTCTTCTAAGATAAGTGGTTCAAATTAAAGGTGAAGAGGGGTTGAATTAGAGGGCTGCTGTGACATGAGATCGTTTGGATGACGGACAACGAGAGGCTATAGCTTTGCCACTGCAACGCGAATTTCTGCGCCCTTGGAATATTCGGATAGAGGCACTGTTATAGAGTAGAAACATTTTTTTTATTTTTCTCAGTACAGTAATAATCAATACGACGAGTTTGGGCACTGCAGGGGCTGCTGCGGCTTTCGTGTCTGAAATACGATTTCCTTGACGGGCGGGCGTCTGAGCATCCCGGACTAGCCCGACTCTGCGATGCCCAAACAGTGAGGGCACGGTGGGATCTCACTTGGTCACCCTGCACTGTAGCATGGCTCCAGCCCGGAGGGACTGCAGCGGCTGGGAGATGTTCCTCCCAACGGGATGTCTGCTCCTCTCTGTTTTGCTATTTCACCCTGCCCTGGCCAAGGTGTGTAACGACCGCACCAAACACGGACAGGACAACAGCTGGTTCGCCAGGGACGGGGAAAACTTGCCCATCATGGTGCTTATGCCCATGAACGAGTCGGCCCTGATGAGCGGCATCAGCCAGGGCATCGAGCCCGCGGTCCAACTGGCCATCCAGCACATACGGGAGTCCAGGAAGTACTCGTTCTCACTCATCACCAAAATCTATGACACCGAGGTAAACACACACACACACACAGTAAATCCCTTTCACTAAGCTGCTGCTGCTGGTTGACCCAGGCATGTTTAAAACAGTTGAGTGTGTGTGCGCCTGCGTGTGTGCATGTGCGCCGTGCGAATGGCGCGCGCATTGCCCCGCAGCACTCCAAACATTGTGCGTCCAAGGGGAAACATTGGGTTCTGTTATGATTGGAATATGTGCAGCCTCGTTGTCGGTGAGCGTGTTTTCAATGCGCAAAAGTCAAATGCTGTCTCTTTACCTCCCTTACCCGATGTTAATGCCTGTCCCCAATATTGGCTCTCTGCTGTTGAGTGTCAGTGCGTTTTATTTGTAACCTGTTTTCACCAGGCACTGCATCAGCCGGGCACTCCAAAGCCACTCTCTCTTGCTCTCCCTATATGGACGTTTTAATGATGACTGCAATCTCAGGATGAAACGGAGTGTGATACAAATGTCATTCATCGCTATCACACAATTTAAATAAAAACGCTGAATTCGGTGGTTTTGCTACGATCACTTTATAAGATGTGTGTATGATTTAAGATGGCTTTGCGCTATAAATATTTTCAGTCACGAATCAATGAATCTGTTAACGAGTGAAGGGCTGGTTCTCATGGTGCCAGAAGATGGCGGTAATTCGATGTACGATTTCTTCTGACTCCTTGCACCCTTGTAAGCAGCTGCACCCCACAGCCTTCCAGCTCCAAATTAGCATCTGTTTATTCGATAACAATAACATCAATAACATACCCCTGCAGTTGAAGTCCTCTCGAAGTTTAGTCATAGCTGAATCTCTGCAAGATGTGACATTGTTGGTATTGTTGTTTACACTTGATTTATTTAAAACAGCCAACAGTTCTGGCTTTCTTCAGTCATCCACCTGCTTTTTGGCACACAATGCAATTGAGGAGCTTAAACCTGCATTTAAAAAATAATATTTAATTACATAAGAAAATAAAGACGGAAAGATAGTATAAAGCTGTTTAATCAATCAGTTGCCATACCAACATGAAGGGACGTTGATAGTTTGACAGATCGGCCAAATCAACATTAAGACTATTGTCCAGTACATAAGATGACTTTGACTTGCTACTTAAATTAACAATATAACATACAACCATATTAACAATTTATGCTACAATTCCCCCTCTAGTAATACTTTTTGATTTCCTGTCGAGCACTTTTGCAGCTCAGTGTTGGTGCACAGGTGTGTCTGTGAAATGGCACACACATCTCTGTTGACAGAGGTAAGCCCTCACAGGCAGCATGCGCTCAGACCACGGGATTAATATGCCCTTATGCGAGTTATGATTTTTCTCCTTCTATTCCCGGGAGAGAAAGATGAGCTGGAAGCATGAGGTCAGTGGGCCAGCCTGACTTCCTGGGGATGTCTAATAGTGATGCCCGCTTTCTAATACTGACAATCAATGAAACTTATGATAACAGTGATATATGATGACTTTCTGGTCATAGGCTAAACTCTAATGTGTCGTGGCACTTCATCTTCTGTGGTATTTGACATTTGTTTTGTCAACAGGCCAGCTGAAACTCTAGGCTCTGATCATGTTTTTTGAAATGTCAATATAAATGTAGCGCCTGCACTAAAACACCCATGGTTTTCACCTCAATAACACATGCTAACATATCAAGTCAACACTTATTACATTATTGTTTTTACAGACCTCATATACAGTGGCAGTTCTAGCTGATATGGCGCCCTGGGCGGTGCACCTTTCGTTGTTTCGTCTTTCAGTATGCACAATGTAGGCCTATTACCTTTTCAGAATAGGAACTGTTAGAACAATAACACAACTTCCTACACTAATTCTTTCTTGGCATAACACATCTCACAAAAGATGGGCTACAACATATCAGTACTGTATAGGCCTATATTACAGACAGATTTTAATTAAGCCCCCAGTATGGAAAATTACACAAAGGACTTGTCAGTACAATTACCTTTTGAGGTGTTTGCTAAATGAAGGTGACTAAATCAATAACGGTTATAGTGGTTGTTTATAACGTTTTTTTGTGCCGCCCCCCAGTCAAAATGCCGCCCATATCAATATCCGCCACTGCTCATATACATGCAGTCCAGGGCAACAGTATTCAAACATAAAACACCCTGTTTTAAACAGCTTCATAGCTATATAAGTTAGTGTATCATGCAGAGTGATGGAAGACCCCAGTATCAACAACAGATTCATGCATAGTGTAGTGAAATGTAATTGCTTAAGAAGGACCAAATGTTAATACTGCACTAGATCTTAATGAAGAATGTTGCACAGTGGTAGCCCGTTGGCTCTGTCTTAAATAAATCTGAGAAAAAAAGTGCCTTGCCAGCAACCCAGAGTATATTTACAAGCTATTTGAAATCATTTGGCACACCCTGCCATGGTTACAGTCAACACAGGACCACAGAGTGCAAATGGCAATATATAACTGCAACAGAGTTCATTACATTTACAGAAAATAATACAAAAGTATGAGACTTAGGTGGGAGAATCACAATTGTAGATATCTTTTAAGATATGAGAAACTATTATTGTTTGTTCATATAAATTGAAGCGGTGTGAATTGTTCTGAGTGTCTCAGCAGTCATGAGTATTTCCAGGTGGATAGAACCTTTGCCAAGGACAGAGTACTATATTGCTTTTGGAGCCTCTGACATACTGTATTTATGGGAGCATTAATGGGAAGTTAGTGATGGCTGTGCTATTAGTAATTTATAATACATGTGTTCATAATAGTATTTGATGTATAATCATTTCTTACACATGCATAAAGACCAAAGACATTCACATGCACACAGCTTTCCCACATACCACATGCTTATGTCAGAGAACAATACATGCATCAGTGCGTTTATTGCAGCCAGCAGCAGTCCAAGTGTGTGTCTCTTCTGCTTGTGCGTACGTGTGTGTGTATGTGTGTGTGGGCACTGGGATTTAGCCTGGCAGATGTAAGTAATCAGTCCCTGAGCAGAGGCTCTTTATCCCTTTATCCCCTGTCGGTGGAGCTACAGTACACTGAGCAGGCCCAGTCCATCCCCTGGTGTTGTGGAGCTGGGTGGGTCTGCTGATGATGTAGAGGCACCGGGGGGCTGTCCAACACTAAAAGGCCTGAGAGCTGCGGCTGTGATGCTAACACGAGGTAGTTGGTTGCTGGAGGACTGGAGAAGCAGTTTCTAGAAGAAGAGCAGATGTCCTGATGGGGAAAGCCTGGAGATGAGATGTAAAATGCAGGCTGGTGTGAAACCGGCTGGATCAGGCCAAAGCCAGACGTGTTTAACAGTACAGGCATTGTAGCAGGCTGAGGCCAATGCAGATGAGAATACATCTTTGCTTTAAACCCAGAGTATTGCAGGTAGAAAAGAAGCAGGATGGATTATTTCAACTGGGAGGCTTAGTGCTGGAGCAGGAGTTGGTTCTCCATCACAGCTCTAGATGTGCGAGTGTGGGCTTTAGTGTAACCGAGGACTGATACTGTAACTCTGCAGGCTTAGAGGATCAACGCTTTGGAGAGGACAGGAAGGACTGGAGGAGGATGGAAGGGAGACTTTGGGCAGTGAGAGCGTTCTAGGCTAAGCTACGCTAGTTCAACAGCTTAGGATGCATGACAGGCTCTTGAGAGGAGCCACTCAGGGAAAGATCCTGTTTTAGCAGAATAGTTCACAATGTACTTTGAATGGCATCAGGTTTGTCTTCACTGTTGTCTTCAGCTCTGGAAAAATACATCAGACAATGGATGCAAATCAAAACCCTTAATAGATGAAATCAATATCGGGAAACCAAATGGATTCATACTCACGTCTTATAAAAGTTTGCTAATCATATTAAAGTTGGTATAGCACTGATTGATGATTTCTTATAAGGACAGATCTTTGGCGGCACTTTCATAGGATTTTGAAATGCAATTTGGAAACACGCCTGCCGTGTCCTATATTGAGGGAAACTCACTTCTAAGGGGACGCGCTTCCTCGCTATCATGTTTCCTATATTCCAGCAGTCAGAGAAGAGTGAACACATGTATTCAAAGGCAAATCAATACAACCACAAAGACACAGAGTCTGCAATTGGAGATAGGGATCCTGCCTGTGTACAGTGCCTCGGATACAGTATGCAGATGGTATTTATAGTATATGACTTTCCATCCATGCAATATGGGCCTCTTGAGACTGTGTTAGCAGTGACCTCGGTTCAGACTGCACACAGACTGCTTCCTTGCTCTTCTCTGAGGACAACATGCAACATGTCACATTTGTGCACATGTAGGCAAGCCCGAAGCCACCGTACAGTACATTCGTTCACAGGAGGAAGAACCCCCACCCACTGAGCACATTTAAGGCGTTCTGTCATTTTGTCAAAACAAGTTATGTTGTTAGGGAATAGGCTTTACCATAATGGAGATCAGGACGCTGCAAAGCATAGGTCTTACGTCAAAGCGTTGTGCTTCAGATTTGAGGCGAATGTGCTTTAGCAAATTGTTTATAGTTTATGTCATTTATATATTTTTCCAGTGAGAGCATCCCAGAGCTACTGATCTAACTGATTCACACACTGTAACTCACCTTTTGAGCTTTTGTGTAAAACCATGTGACATGGGCCAAATGAAGCGGCGCCCTTGGACATCTTGTATGTCAGGGTCTCAGATTGTATGCCAGATATTATCTAAATATCTGACATCCACTCAGCGCCCAGGCGGTGACCCCGGGGGGTCAACACAGATTTCCTGTCACTGCTCCTAGAGAGGGGAATGTTCAGGGATAGTAAGGAAAAGCAGAATGTGACAGCTCGGGTGCTCTCTAGGCATACAGAAAGTGCTGAGTGTGGCTGTGTCCACTGACCCGACACAGATAGTGGGGATCAATGTGCAGCAGCCCTTCTCATACAACGAACAGGATCTCAGGGGAGAATCAGAGAGAGAGGCGAGAGAGGCAGAAATGTGTAGGGCAATGAGATGGAAATCCCCAAATAGGATTATAGGAAATGGCCAGC